GCCAGAAGTTGTCTCAGCGCAGAAGGACTTGCAAACACGGCGTAGGTTCTGGATGAATGGCAAGTCTATCTAGATTGGGTTTTTTTTTTTTTCCAATTTCAAAAAGAACTTTAAAATAAATATTTAAATACAAATGGCAGAAGCAATGTGTTTTATCTTATTACAAATGTGTGCAGCACTTAACAGATTTCCTACCTAGAAGCTCACAGTGGGGCATAAGTGCGTGGGCTTGGAAGCCGTCGGGATGCTGGTGCAAACTCTCAACTGCATATAAACTGATCTGTCTGGATCCCCACACTGTTATCTGAGACACTGCTGCAAACAAAGCTGCCGGCAAGAACTGGATAACATGAGGAAAGACCCTCACACAGCTCCTCGCTCTTGGGGGACACTCAGCAGCAGCTTTGGTTATTATTTTACACAGCATCATTTGTTCCCAAGCAACCTTGTAAAATACACAGGACAAATGCTATGAATGACCATTCCGTATCTGAGAGACTCAGGGAGAACAAGACGTCTCCAGCCTGATAGACACCTGTATTATGAAGGACTAAGTGTGGGAGCTGCCGTAGATATCATCATGCTCCAGGTTCCTAATGTAAGGTCTCTCACCAGCACCCTAGGTACGCGGCAGCAGCCAGAGTCTGCCACCTGGGTGAGCTGATTTCCATGAGTTTCTCCTCCTGATTGCAAAGACCATCGCAGGCTGGGTGTCAGTGGCACCAGACATGCTTCTATGACATTTTTCCACCAGGTAACAACAGTCAATAGTGAACTGGCCATTCTCAAAACCTGCTTACTCCTGGTGTCAGATGGCATCCTGCAATGACCAGCTTTGCATTTTATCAAGAAAAACGTGCTTAAGTCATAGATGAAGGGTCTGATCATTTGATGAGGCTGTAATGTGGAGGTAGAATAGAGAGCCTTAAACCTGTTTGTCAAAACAGCCCGCTTCAAAGCAGCAGAAATGACTGTGGAGCTAAAAATGTATTTATCATAAGATACATGTTTTAAGTTAAATTTATACAGAGTGAGACAGAACATTACCAACTACCCATCAGAAATTAGAAATCAGGGGGTCTGAGGCAGGGGTCAGCAGGCCTTGTTTCCAGAGCCTGGGTCATGACCCTTCTGATCAAAACAGGATGTAGCACAGGAACTGGCCCAAACCAGCTAGGGCCAAGATGGTGCTGAAGCCGTCTCTGGTTGCTCTCATTACTCATTATGTACTGATTATAATTCATCTGCATAAGACACTCCCACTGGCACCATGACAGTTTGCAAATGCATGGAAACAACCCAGAAGTGACCTTATATGGTTCTGGAACTCCCACCCATTTTCCAGAAAGCTCATGAATAGCCTGCCCCTTATTTAGCATATAATTAAGAGTGGGTGTAACTATGCTTGCCAGCGACCAACGCATGCTGCTCTGGGCCGCTCTGCCTGTGCGGTGGCCCTGCTGTCGGTGCAGCTACCGTTTTGCTGCACACTTTGCTCTGTCACCACCTCCTCACCCTCGAATTCTTTCCTGAGCAAAGCCAAGAACCCTGCTGGGCTAAGCCCCAGTTTGGGGATTTCCTGCATCAGGTCTGGACCTAGCCTGTAAAATTCTGACCAGCTGATCATAGTTAATAAAGAAAGTAGGTCATGCGCGGTGGCTCACGCCTGTAATCCCAGCACTTTGGGAGGCCAAGGTGGACGGATCACAAGGTCAAGAGATCAAGACCATCCTGGCTAACACAGTGAAACCCCGTCTCTACTAAAAATACAAAAAATTAGCCAGGCGTGGTGGTGGGCGCCTGTAGTCCCAGCTACTCAGGAGGCTGAGGCAGGAGAATGGTGTGAACCTGGGAGGCGGAGCTTGCAGTGAGCTGAGACTGCGCCACTGCACTCTAGTCTGGGCGACAGAGTGAGACTCCGTCTCAAAAAAAAAAAAAAGAAAAAGAAAGTAGCAATCCCCCAAGTGTGAGCTGTGCTGTCACCAATTTCACTCCCCGATTTTCACAGCTCTAGCATTCTCTCATTACCAGATCCAACTGTTAGGGGAAATGCTGTTGGTGTTTGTGGCACAGACTTCTAATATTTCACCACACTTGTTCCCATGTTTTCCTTGTGTGTATGTTTTTATATCATAAACAAAATAAACCATGCTTAGGAGAGTACTATCAATCTTTCCTTCAAAACAGCAGTGCCCTCATATACTCTAAATGGAATCATGTATTAAATAAATACGACCTCCAACTTTACCTGTGCTTCACACAAGAACTTCATTTGCCAACCGATGGTATTCAATTTAAAGGGAAGCTCTCCTTTCTTATTAAATTATGCAGGATAGGCTTCCAAGGTTGCTGTCTTACTGAGACTTGGATTTTTCTTGCATACACGCTCTTTGGATTGTTGCAAGCCTCTGGTTAATTTTCAGAGTTCTAAGAAAGCTGGTTTTGACAATTTCTGTGACTGCCTTTGTGAAGTAGAAGATTTTCGATGTCCTGTTCCACCATCCCTAGTGCTTCTTTATCATGTTTACTTTTAACAAAAACTTTTCCTGCCTGTGGTTATTTCCAAATCTTAATTTTACTTAATTTTATGCAGTTAACTGTCTCTTCAATAATTACCAGTATTGTCCAATCCTGAGAAAATTTAAGCGATCAGAAAACATATTTTAAAAGTTACTGTAGTCATAAGTAATTATTGTAATATAATGTATGAAAATAAAAACGACTTCCAGTTGTTTGATTGACAATGCTGGGAAACAGAAGAACGGTAGTGAGGTGATACATGTGGAAGAAAGTGGACTAATATCAGTAAAGAAAGGAAATTTTTAAAAATAAGGAACCAAGTGAATTATAATTCAGTATATGATATCATTACACTTAATGAATCAGTATGATGTATACATATGCATAGCTGGCTTCTTGTGCCTGTTCTTTAGTGGCCCTTCATCACGAAGGTTCATGACAACTACAAGTTGTTGCTTTTTCCTCTTTATTTTTTATAACTATATTTATACCATATTTGTTTCTTTTTTTTTTTATTTTGAGACAGAGTCTCGCTCTGTCGCCCAGGCTGGACTGCAGTGGCACAATCTCAGCTCACTGCAAGCTCCACCTCCCGGGTTCACACCATTCTCCTGCCTCAGCCTCCCGAGTAGCTGGGATTACAGGCACCCACCACCACGCCCGGCTAAGTTTTTCTATTTTTTAGTAGAGACGTGGTTTCACCATGTTAGCCAGGATGGTCTTGATCTCCTGACCTCATGATCCGCCTGCCTCAGCCTCCCAAAGTGCTGGGATTAGAGGCGTGAGCCACTGCGCCCGGCCCCTATTTGTTTCTTTTATTCATTAATCTCAAGGGCAATAGAGACCTACCCAACCTTTTTTTCACTGAAAATTTTCAAGTATTCAAAAAAATTCAGTCAGGCGGAAAGACATTTTGATGCCAAATACTCAAGTGTCAAGACAGCTAACATCTGACTCCCCCATAAATCACTCCCCCCTCCCCGCTGCCACCCTGCTGGGTCGAGCTTTGGCACTTTTCATCTTCCTTTCTTTCCTGACCACCCCTCCATCTCGCTGCCCAAATGCCGTTCAAAGGATTATAAAAGAACACGACAACTCAAAACAATATGTTTTAAAAGTGCAGAATAGGTGATGGCACAAATATTATCAAGAAAATCAGGTCCTTTACCGTGCACATGGCACAGTCTCATGGGAAGAATGAAGCATCGTGAAGATGTACGGCTCAGTATTGTTTGTAATAGGGAACGAAAGCATAAATTCAAATTCCCATCTGGAGCAGACTGAAAAGATAAATTAGGGCCAAGGATGGAATTCAGCGGTGATGCTGATGGAAGCTCTGGTCCATGACAGCACAAGATGCACTTACTCATTTTCAATATTCAATATTATTCAATATACAGCAGCAGTAGCGTGAGTGCCAGGCACAGCAACATGCCCTGAACCACAGCGATACGTTGTTTAGTGGAGAAGAGCAGGGTCACAAGACACGTGTGGAGTGCCGTTCCGCCTGATCACACGCGCTAGGCCAGAGCACACAGTCACATAATGACGCTATTCTCTGAATCAAAGCCTCAATCTTAAAGAGACAAAATGAAATTATTCCCAAACACTGGAGTTTAATACCTGATATTTATTTTATTTTATTTTATTTTTTTGAGACAGAGTCTCGTTTTGTTGCCCAGGCTGGAGTGCAGTGCCGTGATCTTGACTCACTGCAACCTCCGCCTCCCGGGTTCAAGCGGTTCTCCTGCCTCAGCCTCCTGAGTAGCTGGGATTATAGGCGCCCACCACCATGGCTGGCTCATTTTTGTATTTTTTAGTAGAGACGGGGTTTCGCCATGTTGGCCAGGCTGGTCTTGAACTCCTGACCTTAGGTGATCCACCCGCCTTGGCCTCCTAAAGTGCTGGGATTACAGTTGTGAGCCACTGTGCCTGGCCAATACCTAATATTTTTAATCCTTTACAAAAAATCTCCCTCTACATTTTAATAGAAGACCATTCATTTTTATATACAATTGATTTGCAATGGTTATTTTCATGTTTTATTCTAATTAAAAAAGTTTCTGGAAATGCTGTGAACTTTTTTCCGTAAGAACTTTCAAAATTCTGTTCTTTACTTGCTCTGCTGCTTGCTTTCTTGCTGGCACTGGTGTTCATGTTAGTGCCCCATGTAACCATATTTGTACACGGGTCTTCCCATACATTCCCGTTTCATTCAATTAAACATGCACGAGTGCTGAGTGGCAAACACCTTCATTATAAAAGAAACTTTTCCAGATGCATTTCCCCACAATAAAGGTTTATTTCTCTCTCTCTCTCCAATTAAAGTGTATTTCCTAAGTTCTCCCTGTACTCAGTGAACACTGGCCTGTAACCTTAAATATTAGAAGATTTCACCAAAGTAAAGTCATAAAGATACAAAAATATAACGTAAGACCTGTATGCAGCAGAGGTGCCCCACCTACTCAGCAAGACTGTACCTGGGGCGTGGATGGGTTGAAGGCCACTCCAGTGACGGTGTCTGTGTGCCCAGCCAGCCGGTGAGAAAACGTGCTCGAGCCCATTTCATACACGTAAGCCTACAAGACAAGATGAGCAGGTGTGCCATGTTAACTCAGAGTGAGGAATCAGCTATATGCTACACAGAGCAGAGGGACTGTCTAGAGATTAGTGCAGTTGATCAAATACAACAGCAACAACCGAGATGCCTGACAAAACATCATCCAAGCTGGGGAACTAACCTTATAAAACAGGCATCTTTTCCCCTTCTCTCTTGTAGATTTTTTACATCTTAGTGAACTTATGTCATACCTTCTATTTACTATCAAAAGCCTCCATAGTACCCTGTGAACAGTTTTAAATATATGCTCATGTTTGATGACTAATTTTAAGGAAGGAGTATAGATTCTGTAATGCAACCCTAACTTGAAGTTCCAAACTGAATGGAAAAAAAAAAAAAAAAAGATACTCGATTGTATCCTCCCCCATAAACTTGAAATAGGTACATATGCTATACTGTGTTTCCTACTCATCAGCTTAGAATCTGAGCAATTCAAATACTTAGATTTTTTTATAGCTGTTGATAAATAAGTTCCTCTCCAACTGTATGTGACACAATTCTGGATATATGTATCCAGAACTGCTATCAATAGTTTATTTTAGAGACAAAATCTGTTATCAGACACCATTATGATGGAATTGAGAGATGAGATCATCATTAAGTAACAAAGTGTATCAACAAATATTTTCTGAAGTCTACTAGTAACAGCAACGTCACATTGCAGCAGAAGGAAGGTGTCAAAGGTGATTCCTTTTCCTGCAAAACCCCGTTTTTAAAAAAATTAAGCGTACTGTGTATATTTGAAGTTTGCAACATGATTTTATAGGATCCACACCTACAGATATGAAGATAATAGTACTGGTAACTAGAGAGGCGGACTCTCATATCTATCATCTCACATCGCTACTTGTATTTGTAACAAGAACAGCTTAAAATCTATGTAGTTCAGGAAAATCCCTAATACTCCATGGTTTTATTAACTTGAGCACTCGTGTTGCACATTAGATACCTGGACTTCTTCATCCTAGCAGCTGCTGTTTCGTATCCTTTGACCCACATCTCCCCATTTCCTCCCCGTCCCTGCCTATGTCTACCCTGTTAGCCACACTTCCATCATCTATCTTGGTGTCTTTGAGCTCTTGTTAAGATACAGATTTCACACAGAAGTGAGATCCTGCAGTCTTTTTCTTTTTGTGTCTGGTTTATTTCACTTAGCATAATGTCCTCCATGTCCATCCACACTGTGGCAAATGGCAGGCTATACCATTGTGTGTACGTGTGTACAGACATATGCACACACTCCTATATCATATTTTTTATTAATCTGTGTTCATTGATGAGCTTTTAGATTGTTTCTATAGCTTGGCTGTTGTGAGTAATGCTCAATGAACATGGGAGGGCAGATGACTTTACATAGTATTGACTGTCTCTCCTTTGAGCATATACCGAAAGGAGGACTGCTGGGTCATATTGTAGTTCTATTGTTACTGTTTTCTATACTGTTATCCAGATGGCTGCAACAACCTACATTCCCACCAACAGTGCACAGGGTTCCCTTTTTTCACACCCTCACCAACATTTGCTATCTCTTGTCTTTTTGATAATAGCCATCCTTACAGGTATGAGGTGCTAGCTCAGTGGTTTTAATTTGCATTTCTCTTATGATTAGCAATGTGGAGCACCTTTTCATATAGATTTTTGGCCATTTTTATGTTGTCTTTGGAGAAATGTCTAGCCAGGTCCTTTACTCATTTTTCAATCAGGTCATTTGTTTTTCTGCTATTGAGTTGCAAGAGTTCTTTATAAATTTTGGATATTAAACCCTTATCAGATATGTGTTTTGCAAATAATGTTTCCCACTCCATAGGTTGCTTTTTCATTTAAGAAAAATAAAGTTGGCTGGGCGCGGTGGCTCAAGCCTGTAATCCCAGCAATTTGGGAGGCCGAGACGGGCGGATCACGAGGTCAGGAGATCGAGACCATCCTGGCTAACCCGGTGAAACCCCGCCTCTACTAAAAAAAATACAAAAAACTAGCCGGGCGAGGTGTAGTCCCAGCTACTTGGGAGGCTGAGGCAGGAGAATGGTGTAAACCTGAGAGGCGGAGCTTGCAGTGAGTTGAGATCCGGCCACTGCACTCCAGCCTGGGCGACAGAGTGAGACTCTGTCTCAGAAAAAAGAAAAAAAAGAAAAAGAAAGTTGGAGGCATCACACTTAAGATTATATTACAAAGCTACAGTAACTAAAACAATGTGGTACTGCCAGAAAAACAAACACACAGACCAATTAGAGTATAGAGCTCAGAAATAAATCTAAATGTATATGGACAACTAATTTTCAATAAGGCCATCAAGAGGACACAATGAGGAAAGGATAATCTCTTTAATACATGGTAATCTCTTTAATAAATGGTGTTAGGAAAACTGGATTTCTGCACACAAAAGAATGAAATTGGACCTTTATTTTACCATACACAACAATTTTGCCACACACAAAATCAACTCAAAATGGATGAAAGACCTAAAATCATAAAACTCCTAGAAGAGAACATAGTGGAAAAGCACCTTAATATTGACCTTGGCAATAATATTTTGAACATCAGAACAAAAGCTCAGGCTACAAAACAAAAGTAAATAAATGGGACTGCATCAAACTAAAGAGCTTCTGCTCAGCAAATGAAATAATCACCGAAAAAGAACTATTTTAATGTAAGAATGAGTCCTTCAGATTTAGGCCTTCCCAATGATTCTGTCAATGACTAAGCAGGTTTTGAAGTAAAGTCTACAAATAAATGTCTGATATACAGTTGACCCTTGAGCAACGTGGTGGCTAGGGGTGCTGGCCCTCCACACAGTCAAAAATCCACACGAAGCTTTTGACTCTCCAAAAGCTTTACTGATAACCTACTGTTGACCAGAAGTTTTACCAATAACATAAACAATCAATTACCATGTTTTATATGCTATATGTATTAATACTTTATTCTTACAATACAGTAAGCTAAAGAAAAGAAATGATATTTAAAAAATCATAAGGAAGAGAAAATATACTCATTATTCACTGAGTGGCATCATAGAGGTCTTCATCCTCATTGTCTTCATGTTGAGTGGGAAGGAGGAGTAGCAGGGGTTGGTTTTGCTGTCTCAGCAGTGGCCGAGGCAGAAGAGGTGGAGGAGGTGGAAGGGGAGGCAGCACAGGCAGGCTCACTTGGTGTAACTTCACAGAAATATGTCATAATTTCTGCCTGACATTTTTGCTCTCTCACATTTTCTAAATGGTACCAATCCTCCTACCATTTGCTTTCATTTCACTGCCTGTATCATAGAAGGATCCATGTCATGAAAGACATCAAAAGCACTGAGTCATCAGAACCCTTCTTCCAGATTATGTCTAATGTCAATTTGTTTCTTGGCACTGCTTCTTCCATGTCTTCTTACTCATTGTCCAGCATTGGTTTGAAGCACTCATCTCCATCAAGTGGTCTTCTCTTAATTCCTCTGGTGTGGTGTCTGTTAGCTCTTGAATTTCTCCAAGATCCATAGCTTGAAACCTTTTTTGCCATATCCACCATCTCTTTCATGATTTCCTTGATTGGCCCTGTCATAAATCCTGTGAGGTCATGCACAACTCTGGACAGTTCTCTCCAGTGGGAATTGTTTCAGGGTTGATGGCCTGCATGGCTTTTCCTATAACAGTAATGGCCTCTTCAATGGTGTAATCTTTCCAGGTTTTCATGATGTTCTCTCCATCAGAATTCTCTTCCACAGCATTGACAACCCTTTCCATAGGGTTCCATTTGTAATGACCCTCTGATCTGGAGTCTGGATTAGAGAAGTTGTTTGGGGGCAAGACCACTTTGATGCCTTTGGTGTTAAACTCATTGGGTTCTGGGTGGCCAGAGGCATTGTCCAATATCAAAAGAACTTTAAAAGGCAGTCATGGCCAAGTGCAGTGGCTCACACCTGCAATCCCAGCATTTTGGGAGACCAAGGTGGGTGGATCATGAGGTCAGGAGATTGAGGCCATCCTTGCCAACATGGTGAAACCCCATCTCTGCTAAAAATACAAAAGTCAGCTGGGCGTGGTGGCACATGCCTATAACCACAGCTACTCGGGAGGCTGAGGCAGGAGAATTGCTTGAACCCAGGAGGCAGTGGTTGCAGTGAGCCAAGACTGCACCACTACACTCCAGCCTGGCAACACAGCTAGACTCTGTCTCAGGAAAAAAAAAAAAAAAAAAAAAAAAGGCAGTCGCTTCCTGACTTCAGGGACAAAGTAACAATGGAACCAATGCAGGAAAAGGTTCTCACTGTCCTGCTTTCTTAGTGAACAATGAAAAGATTGGCAGGTGGTGTTTTTTTCCCTTCAAGGCTCAGTTTTATGGGTAAGGGCAGTCCCAATCACAAGCTCAGCTGCATTTGCACAAACCAGTAGAGTTGACCTATCCCTTCCTGCCTTAAGTCTGGTGTTACTCTTCCTTACCAATAAATGTCCTTTGTAGCGTTTTTCCCTAAGAATAGGCCACTTACATCTGCACTAAAAACCTGTTCAGGCAGACATCCTTTCTCCTCAAGGATTTTTCTTTTCTTTCTTTCTTTTTTTTTTTTTTTTAAAGATGGCGTCTTGCTCTGTTGCCCAGGCTGGAGTGCAGTGGCACAATCTCAGCTCACTACAACCTCCACCTCCCGGGCTCAAGCGATTCTCCCACCTCAGTCTCTCAAGTAGTTGGGATTACAGGTGCCCAGCACCACACCTGGCTAATTTTTGTATTTTTAGTAGAGACAGGGTTTCACCACCTTAGCCAGGCTGGTCTCGAACTCCTGACCTCAGGTGACCCGCCCACCTTGGCCTCCCAAAGTGCTGGATTACAGGCGTGAGCCACTGTGCCCACCCTCACTGATTTCCTTAATGGCGTCTGGGAACTCAGCTGCTGCCTCTTGGTCAGAAGCTGCTTCTCCTGTTATCTTGATCTTTTTTTTTTTTTTTTTTTTGAGACAGGGTTTTGCTCTTGTTGTCCAGG